ACTCGCCACCATATTCAGACTCACCCCAGGTGACTACGGATGCATCTCCAAGAATGGCAGCGAAAGCTTTGCTGCTGGACTGCACACGTGTGGTGCAATACACCAGAGTACCCCCCGCCAAAACCCCTCGCCGTGCCGAACAAGCTTCTTCACCGCTCAATGTCACAGGAACTGCCATGAGAATCACTGAATTAGGCTTGCTTAGAAGTGTGCGGCGGGCTTTAAGAGGAGATCTCCAACCCATTTCATGTTCCCTATTATTGTCGGATGAGCAACCGGACGCTTTGGGACTTCGGATTCGGTGTCTGAATCAAAATCTAGACCCAAGAGAAACCTAGGAATAAAAGGGTGCCCTTTTTGGTTTGAAGGGGCTTATAAGGGAGGGAACCTGAACTGAACCTTTAAAAGTAATAAGGGCCTATCCTAGGTCGTAGAAATTGAGCCAAAGCCGCAAAGCAACGTCGCTGTGAGTGCTTGGCTGCCGCAAACCAATTTCTGTGGTGTAACTTTTATGACACCTCTAGCTGACTCTAGCCAGGCAAGGGGCCGAAAGGGGGAGGGGGAGGGCAAGCTAAACCAACCCAATCGCCCAATTACCGAATAAGCCAACCGGCTAAATAACCAACGAAACAAACTAAACTATACATCAACCCTAACCCGGCCCAACCCCACCATATCACGTCGCACGCAGTCCTCGAAGTGAAAATGCGGCGCCGCAGCGAAGCCAGCAGCCGCGAAGACGCCTCGGGTGCAAACAAGAACAAACAAGGCCCCCGACCTAGCGCAATGCGATGCTCGGCGGATCAGCTGCTGTCTCAGTGATAGGAAGAGCCGACTGCGAAGCACCAAGAATCTTGTCCAAAATCTAATCACTCCAGTAACATCCAGCAAACCCTACGAGGGTCGACCCGGCCTCCCAGAGAGTCGCAGCAGCGGCGCCAGGAAGACCACGACCACGAACAGCACAGAACAGGGGGTTTCGGATTATGAATAGGGTTTAATTATGGAAGCCAAGTTGCGCTGGGCACCAAGCTTTCGGGAACAATGTTGGCCCCAGCACATCTTCCATCTACACGATCAAAGGGCTATAAACTACTGTGAGATTGGAGATTGCGAGCGCATGGGAAAGTTCAGGTAGCTTGCAGTGAATATATCAGATATGATATTCCTAGTTACAAGAAGTTGCTCTGTGAAAGGGCCTATGTGAGGGGTCCTGGAAGGGTCCTGTGATTGAAACCAATCCAGAGGATGAGTTCTTCATACCGATTCTTGACTCGTCGCTGCAGAAATTACACTTGATCACAGCCAAACAGCTGAGACGGAATCCGGAGCTGGTATTTACGTGAGTTGTTACATACAGCCAGACTTCACGAGGATTGTTACGTGAATTGTTCCGCGACTTATGTCGTGAACTGTTATGCGGTATGTTAGTTTTGACAGTGGGCACCCAATAATGAAGCCACAAACTGTTCTAACCGGTCGCTGTCGTAGAAGTGGTGGTGGTGCGTCGTCGTTGTCGCCGTCGTAGTCGGAGTAGCGGTGGTCGTCGTCGTGGTTGTAGTAGTAGAAGTAGTACGCTAAGTAGTAGTAGTAGTAGTAGTAGTAGTAGTAGTAGTAGTAGTAGTAGTAGTAGTAGTAGTAGTAGTAGTAGTAGTAGTAGTAGTAGTAGTAGTAGTAGTAGTAGCAGTAGCAGTAGTAGTACCAGTAGTAGCAGGAGTAGTAGTAGTAGTAGTAGTAGTAGTAGTAGTAGTAGTAGTAGTAGTAGTAGTAGTAGTAGTAGTAGTAGTAGTAGTAGTAGTAGTAGTAGTAGTAGTAGTAGTAGGAGGAGGAGTAGTAGTAGTAGTAGTAGTAGTGGTAGTAGTATAGCACTAGTAGTTTTGGAAGGAGCCTGCAAAACAAGTTTTAGCACAGTAAATGGCACACTGGGCCCGGGCAACTTCTAAGTTTCACAGAACTTCTCACGCCCTGCTGCCTCGGCACAGCTTAGACGACGTAACCCTTAAACCCTAAACCCAGCTTGCAGTCCCATGCACTAAAACCAAAACAATCCATAGCCGGAGCCCCACAACCCTAAGCCTCAAATGTGAAACTTCTACAGCGACCTCCAACCCCCTAAACCCAAACCCTAAGAAGGGGAGAACCCTACAGAACCCTTGTGGTACTTATGAATCCTGCCCGTAACGCTAAACCTTTATAAGAGCTTACCCTAAACCATTTCGAAACCCTTAAAAACGTGTCGACCTCACAAAACTAAACCCGGACAATAACCCGTTTGACTTACTGCCTACGCTATACCCTAAACCATTAGGCAACCTTGTAGGACCCCTTGTGTACTTGCTACCCTATTTATAAATCCTCAACACATTAGGAACCCTTATAGGCACTATTGTCAACTTGCTACCGTAAACTCATATTGACGCTTGAAGGAACCTTTCTGAACGCTTCTACTGGAAACCTTAAACCCTTATAAGAAACATTATGAACTTGCTATCCCGAACCCTAAACCCCCAAAATCTAAACTCAAAGCCCAAGGAAAAGAAGCTCTCAACAGGAGACGCCTCGCCTCTTGCGGCAAGGACCCAGATAGCCTTGCCTGGGCCTGGCCGAAGGGCGAGACCAAGCAAGAGGGGGGTTTTAGAAAATGTTAGGGTGTAGGGTGGATATAGGGTTTAGAGTTTTGAGTTTGGGGGTTTTGAAGGAGATTTTGGTAAGTTTTAGAGCTTTTAGGGTGTAGGGTGAATAAAGGGTTTAGGGTTTAGGAAACCAGAGCCTGAGGTGTAGGGTTTCACCAGCAAGACAGGCGGGGGGCTTGGGTTTAGGGTGCAGGGTTTAGGATGCGTATTTGGTCGGATACAGTGAACCGACGAAGAGCGAAATCCTAAAACCCTTACGCCCGGAAAGCCTTCTTGAAGCCCTGACACGATGCTCCTGAGGTACCTGCCTTGATCTTTGTTTGTGGGCTATTTTTCTTCTGAGGCTTCCAGACATCTCCTAGGAAATTCGACCAGCAGAAGAAGTTCAGTACTCCACCACTTGAAGTTACAAGAATCCCACATGTAGTCTAGAACCGCCCGAACTCTCTGAAGTAAATTTTGGCCAGAGGCGTATGGTGTAGGCCTTTGGGTTTTCGGAGAGAGTGCGGGGACTTTCTGCAGACATGGAGGCGGGACTTTGGGGTTTGGGGTGGCAGTCACAAACCTCTACATCCTGACAAAGCACACACTACACGCCCAGATCCCCAAGCTGAGATCCACCCTACCCGCGCTGAACCCTCAAGGCTTTCGCCCTGTATAAACCCTACCCCAGTTCCTTTTTGGTTTATCCGATTCTAAATTTAGGATCCTAGAAGGTAACCCAAAAAAGGAACTACAAAGGAGACTGTAGGTAGCTAAACCCTAAACCCTATACCCTAAACCCTAAACCCTAGCTTTATCCAGATCGCCTCGAAGCTCCTCCACGGCCCTACCTGGTGCCGCCCCCCGGCTACTGCTTGGGTTCCAGGGTGGCATCTGTTGATTTAAAGGGATCTAGAAGGATACCTTTAAGGGGTTCCTCCAAGGGATCTATAGGGATTTAGGGTTTAGGGATATAAATCCTGCATTACCCATTATAAGGAATATACCATAGTTCCCATAGTTTAGAGTTCTTAGGATCATACAGGATTTTGTCCATCAGCAGAATGCATTAAGAGTCTCTGGGCTCTTCAAGGGTCCTTGAAGGGTTCTTTCAGGTGTACTTGGGAACTCTGCAGGGTTCTACGGTTTAAGGTCTGGGGATCAGCACAATGGAGACGAGGGTCCCATGACGACCAAGAGCAGGTGAGAAGCAGCACGACCACTCGTCTGGTGCTGAAGCGGGGATGAAGTGCTGGTGAAGCCGGGGTGGTAGCCGCAGCAGAAGAGGAGGAGGACCAGTAGTTGAGCAAGAGTACCAAGGCGGATGAACTGTTCAGGCTTCGGCGACTTGATGATTTGGAGCTGCTGCCAAAGTATCATCACAACTCGGTACTCGCGGCATGCCATATCTCCTGGCTTGGTGTGACCCGACATGGACACCTGTGTTTAGCAGCAGCAATGCCCTCGCACCGAGCTCTGGGAATCTTAAAACTCGGCCTTCAAACCGGGAGCGCTGACTAGAGAAAACATGAAGGCATTGTAAGACAAGGCATTCACCGCCAAGCCTGTAGTGCGCGGACAGTGTATGAGTTTGGGGGGGGGTATACAAACCGTGGCGCCGTCATGTTCCAAAGCAAGAACCTATTCACCTTGCATGTCACATCACGAAGTTCTGCAGCTCACCAAAGCTGGAAAATCCCAACAACACAAGAGTAAGAATAAGATTGATAGGTATCTGTTCTTGTGAATATGGCAACTATTACTATCTTTTCTCCTTGTTACGTTTTAGTATTCTCGTTGTTGTTAGTTTGAACGTTAATGACAACAATATTCATGCTAATATTTGTACAAGTAATAACAAGAAGCGTAACTATGATAAGAACAAGACGGACAGTAGACTAAACCAACAGGTATAATCGCAATAATTAGTGGTGTCAGAAATTGTCCAGAGTCTTCCCAAAGAGTCCATATGTACCATAGTAGCATACCTACCTAGGCATTCAAAGAGGCTGCTATATCAACCCGACGCTCAACCCCGCAACACACTAGCAATGTCCTATATGCTGAAGGCACAATCCTTGTGGTATAACCCTTCCCTTAGCCAAAGAAGGTTAACCTTTTCAATTGTGGTAGGAACATATCAACCCCAAAGGTTAAAGGATGTAGCCCTGGACTTCGATTTCTAACCAGGGAGAAAAGCGTGTGGACTGCTATTTCATAATGGCTCCTCTACGGAACAGGACCACAAACATGGATTCGAGTATGGTACTCCAAAACCCTAAACCCTAAAACCCTAAACCCCAAACCCTAAACCCTAAAACCCCAAACACTAAAACCCAGCTTCAACGCTTTTGTTTGCGACATCTGCGGCTGCTCCCCGCACCCTCAGAGCATACCTCGGCAGAGCTGTTTGCTGCAGGTTCCCTAAACCCTACCTGGACCTCTTTACTGACATACATATATATATATATATATAATTACATATATATATATATATATATATGTATATTATAAGGAAACCAGATTAAGGAACCCTTAAAAAAGACGTGCTTTATAGGGTCCAGGTAAACCTTAACATATACAAGGACATCAGAATAGGGAACCCTAAAAAGGAAGTGTTTTATAAGGTCCGGGTAAACCTTAAACCCTCAGGGTTTTGGGGTTTGGGTTTGGTTCCTCCGGGTTGGTCGCCAATCGACTTAAGGTTCAAGGCTTCAAGGTAGCGGTTGGGTTTAAGGGATTTAGGGATAGAGTTTGGGGTTTACGGTAGGGAACCCTAACAATGTAGGTCGGTTCTTTTGGGCCCAGGTAAACCCTGAACCCAACTGAGCTTGATAACATGTGTCTTGGTTTTGCGGCTGCGCCTTTGGGCGTCCGGCTTGGAGTTTGTCGGATGGAGGTTGCGGTTTGGCCAAGGTGGCTTAGCTTCGTGACCCTATAAGGCTCCGTGTAGCCACATAGTAAATACTTATAGGCCTTAAAGTACCTGCATAGGAACCTCTTTAAGGCCTAAGTATATACTATATGGCTACATGGAGCCTTAGGGTGAGAAGTCGGTATCCAGCCGAATGCATGCAAGCTTTAGCAGGTTCCGTCGGGCTAGGTTGGCATCAATGCCTTTACTGGAAGGACACCTACTCTGTACTATGTCCTTCTATGTGAGGGTTATGTGTGGCGGAACCAAAATTTCATTAAGATACTTGCAACTGTAGCTCAGCATTTTCGCGGCATTAATCAGTAGTACAATTCGAGGATTTAGGGTTTTGAACTAGGAAGGTGATAAGCACAGGAAGGGACCCCTTTTGTGTTGAGCATGTTGCGGTTTCGGAAGCTAAAGCTGCAGGGTTCTGCACGTCGGCACGCAAACTTGGCCCAAACGACTTAAGCAAGAGACCTAAATATGGACACCTAAAATTTGGGATGCTTGCTACAAGGACCGTTATATTTAAATGAAGTACCCCGAATGTTTAGAAACCCCATCGCAACGCTGCCTCCTGGACGGAGGCCAGGTGCGCGGGCGCCCAGGCTGCTTGGGGTGAAGGGCAGCTGGATCCTTTGCATTGCCCTTAGGGCTCCAGTTACCCAAATAGTGTAGGTTACAAGGGTATATAAACTTATGGATGGTTGTCTCTTTTTTGGGTCCGTAATAGAGTACGGCACCGAAAATTTATAGGGTGCCCAAAAAGGGATCATAATTTGACAACCACCCATATGGGCTAATTACCTTCTATTTAGGTAACTGGAGCCCGAAGGTTGCACACGCACGATTACAAGGGACGGTAGCGGCAGGCTCCGAGGACTCAGGAAGTTTAGGGCTATGGGCTTCGGGGAACATTTTCGGTGCAAAGACCTGAGGACATTTATTTGTTGCGTGGCTTCGACATTGAGAGAAAAACTTGTGTAATGGAAGAAGAACAGGTCATCAGAAAGGGGGGTAGGCCGGAGCTCGAAGTGGACGGTTAAGTGGCCGCAGGATCAGAAGTCGATGCTTCATTTATTTGATGCCTATTCGTCTGAAACCCACGCAGAGGTTCACCGCCTGGTGTATTTCGGAAAATAATTTGGGACTCCGCCAGGGTTTAGGAAACGTAAACCCTTTCAATCTGGTATCAGCTCCTAATTCTGCACTGGTTTCATGCTTTCCGGTTCCAAATGCTCGTTCCAATTCCTTCGCCGTAGTAAGCCCTAGGGTTCAGGATTTAGGGTTCAGGGTCTAAGCCTTAAGCACCTTTCACGGACATTATATAGCCTAGCCAAAATATCCACAATAGTTGTTTTTGGTTGGGAGGGGGGGGGTATGTTCTACTCTGACGGAAATACGGAGCCCACAGAATAGTATAGGTAATTATTAAGGCCGTAAACCCTACACCCGCTATAGCAAATACCCCAAGCTGTGAAATGCTGAATGCCGAGTCTTTAACCCTGATTCTCCGAGGCTTTCGAACCGGGCCAGGCTTTAAGTGCACCTGCCGGCATGAAACCTAGTAGAACCCCGATAAGGCCGTTGACGGAATCCTTTCAGAGCCCATAAACCCTCCTAACACGCCTGATGGAACACCTATGTATACATACTAATTATGTATGTACATGAGTATACATGAGTACATACATATATATATATATATATATATATGTGCCTACTTATTTATCTATTTATGTCCTGTTATACTTATGTATACCTTATGTTTACACATGTATATATGTATATATACATACACATGCATATACACAGACTTGAACACCACACAAGCAAATGCGCATGTAGATATGTGTATACATATTCATATCTATATATATATATATATATGAATATATACAAATATATATATATATGTAAATATACATATAGATATGATATATACACACCTGTTTTACACACACACACACACACACACACACACACACACCTTGTTCCACCCTCTGAGGGCCGTTGCTTGCCGAGTAGCCCTGTAGGAAGAGCATGGCTCAGGGGCTCTATCGGCATGGCCCTGTTGCAGCAAGGCGGTTTAGGGTCTGTTGTTTAGGTTGCAAGGCTGTACAGGGTTTGAGGTTTTCTGCTTTAGGACGTGAGGCTTGGGAGGATCACGAGTTCTAGTGTTTCGGGCTTGGGTGTAGCTCTCTCTCTCTCTCTCTCTCTCTCTGTCTGTCTGTCTCTTATACACATACTCAATGTTTTTTCAAATATATATATATATATATGCATACCTATACTATATACATACACACATATAGATATAATGCATAATTATGCATGGGGTCTTGCGTAGGGTAGCTCTGGTCTGCCAGTGTTTGGTTCAGGTTTCTAAGTTCTCACGAAGGTTCTACCCCAAACTGAGCCGCTAAACCCGAAGCGACCCCATCACCCCATCCTCTCTATCTATACTTCTACCTACGTCTGCATCTACATATAATATAACTATATATATATATATATATACAGACGCATCTTTTTATTCTGTATATATGTGTATATGCATATATGAAGAATAACACACAGACATGCCATCTCCCATGCGCTTTGCCTGGTCCGCTGCATTGGAGCAAAGCCTGGGATGCTAGGTGGTTTCAGCAGGTGGGGCAAAGAGACCTCCCTCTTGCTTTTTAAGGGTTACATGGGTGGTTGTCAAATTCTGGTCCCTTTTTGGGTACCCTAATTTTAGGTGCCATACTATACTAGGGACCCAGAACAGGCCTAATATTGACGACCACCCACATGTTTTCAAAGTGACATAGTCACCGTTGATATACTCTAAACCTAGAATGGACGGATGCAGCGGTTGCCAGCCTGGTTAGGCTGCAACTTGGAGGATCATGGGACTTAGTAGTAAGTAAGGTTATAAGTACCTTAATTGGGGTTATAAGTAGCTATAAGCATAGTTACCATGATCTTTTAAGTATTGCAGCAGCATTGCCCCTGTGGGTGTGGGATGAAGGGGTCGCAGCTTACCGATTTAACCTGTCCTCGACCCCAGGAGTATGTGGCAACAATAGATTAAATAGCCTTTTGCAAGTGTTGCACGCGTATACCTACTTTGGGGGGGGGTTACGGCTACAGTAAGAAGGCCCTTGGAGGGGCGTCATTCCGTTAAGACTCATGTTGTCTCGGCCCCACCCTAAACGACCTCAATCTAGATCTTTCACAACAGGATGAAACATGTAGATATATGGGAGCTTTCGAAAATCGGGCACCCTCATATAGTACCCTGAATAGTAGGATCCTTATTAAGGACCTGAAAATAGGGTACCCCTAATTTTCGGAAAGCCCCATGTGTAGATGCCTTGGCTTCGCGGCTTCGGGACTGTGCGGCTAGGAGTGCTACCTGAGCTTCCAGCAGGTTGCACATGATCCTGCCACCAGGTTTCGGAATGTCGCTAGCTTTAGAGGAATGTACCCCAACCCAACCCCTGAACTCTAAAACCCTAAACATGATCTGATTCAGTTCACCGTGCAGATTCCCCGAACTAGGCCCGACACCTACGTACCCCCAAATCCTTAGCCCTAGACCCTGGACTAGGTAAAATAATGGCCCAAAACCTATAAAAGGCTATTATTCTACATACTTTTGGGGTCCAGGTATGCACCAGGAAGTTGAAATTCTCAAGCGCAGCGGCGTGCCAGCGCCGGGGTCTGTCTAAAAGGCTATTATTCTACATACTTTTGGGGTCCAGGTATGCACCAGGAAGTTGAAATTCTCAAGCGCAGCGGCGTGCCAGTGCCGGGGTCTGTCGGTCGGCCAAGGATGTCTGCAGCCAAAGCTTATGGCGCTTGCGGTTTTTCTGCTGTGTCTATTTTTTGTTCTTAAAACCTGAATTCCATGAATTCTAACTTCTAAACTCTAGACCCATGACCCTGAATGGTATCACATGTGGGTCTGTCTTTGTTTGGGGCGAGGCCTCTTAGGTTTGGCCGTAGTGAAGGAGGTCAAGGGCTGGGCTGTCACGAAAATTTATCGTACTCTCATAGGCCCCCGATAATCGAAAATACCTGCTGTATATTATGACCACCGAAAGCTGCACATCTGGCTATGCCCTGACTCATGTTGGGAAACGGTCAGGGCACTGCTGGTTTCATAACCCGATGAATTCTTTCTCAAGCTTTTGTGCATGGGGGGCTTACTGGCCAACTAGGGTCCAAGACAAAATGTTTCCAAAGTCCCACATGACAGAAGGGATGAGTCAGCTAAGAGTTGCAGATCTTTTGCATCTGCCCTTCTGCTTCGAACTCTACACTAAGCCCTAAACCCCAAACCCAAAACCCCAAACCCTAAACTCTAAACTCTAAACCCAAAACATCCGCAGCAGTGAATGCTGAATCCGAACTCACGAGACGCCTAGAAAGAACGGACCCCAAAGCCCAAAAAACACTAAAAAACCCTTGCAGATCCCTGACAGAACCCTTATCCATCCCTTCTATTACCGTTACAAATATATCTCTGACCCTAAACCCTGATAGAACCCTTATCTATCCCTTATATTAACGTTATAAATCCATCTCCGACCCTAAACCCTGAAGCCCGGCGTGCCGACTGGCCTTGTGCTGAGTCTGCCACCCGTGGCTCAGGCGCAGCTTCGGTTTCATGGCAGTCCTTGGGACTCAGAGACTCAGAGAGCCCCTTCGTGTATATTGGGTTTAGGGTATATACAGGGTTTAGGGTTTAGGGTTCCTTAGCCAATCCGAAGCCTTGATGGGAGTTTCCGAAAATGAGGGGTATGGTTTCGGGTATTGACCAAGTCCATATTGAACATGGAGGATACCTTTAACATGTCAAGCGGGTTTTAGGGTTTAGGGCCTAACACAAGGCCGGAATGAGTACCACAATATGTACTATTCCTCAGGGGATATCGATATAGCTATTACACTGTATTCAGGTATTCCCTCAAAAAGGGGTAAAAGACTCTCTTGCAGGAACTTTGCACGAGCACCAGGTGTCTCGCAATGCTAGGCCTGATTGCCTGATGGTCTGTACTAGCAGGATACAGAGGTAGAGATGGAGCTGGAGATAATCAGACATATAGATAGACGGAGAATGAGAGAAAGGATAATATGGATTGGAGTTGGTTTGTTCTCTTCTTAATTGTTATCATCCACGGTGGGATCAATAGAGCCAGAAACCCAACAGCCAAAACGTGACAGCCTGAACACCAAACCCCAAAGCAACACCTTAAGCCCTAAACAAAGCCAGCTATCAAGTACGAAGTTTAATGGCGGAGCCCTAAACCTTTAAAAATGAAACCATGAACCAAAAGCCCAAACTGTACATTAGGATTTATGACGTCTAAGATTTGGGGCTTTTAACTTGGGTTTAGAAGTGTAGCAGAAGCCAGAAAGTTGGAACATTCTTACTTTCATGTCCTCAAAGCAAAGTATAAGGCATCCTAGCATTAACCATCCTAAATCCATGTTCCAACCAACTTTCTAGAGTTCCCAGGCCCAATACTCCTTAATCGAGGACTATAGCCTAAACCATACATATGAAGCCCCTTGTAACCTTGATTAGGGGATATGGGTCTCTCTGGCTTCGCTGTGTAGCTATAAGTGGAGTTACAAGTCCGCTAGTATGGGTTTACCTTACTTAAACCCCCCCCCCCCCCACCTATAATTATAACTACCCCTGAACCGCCAAGTAGGCCCTAAATCCTATACCCTTAAGGAATCCTCCCTTATAACTACCCCTCCTCCAAGTAAGGTCTTCAAACCCAAGAGTCGTGGCGGAGGTGCGATCGCTGCGGGTCGTCAACTCAGGGCATCCTGGATCTTCGCTGTGGGAGGAGGAGCCTGCAGCAAGCATTTAGGGTTTTAGGGCTCGCGGCCTATTTAGGGTTTAGGGTTTTAGGGGTTTAGGGCCAGTTTAGGGTTTAGGGGTTTAGGGTTTAGGGGTTCAGGGTTTTAGGTGTTTATGGTTTAGGGGTCTCAGGGTGCCTTCGATGGGAATGGTTTATCTACAGGCTTCGTATCAGCGCTACTACAAGGATTCTTACAAGGGTTTTCGTTCAGGCGTCTGTAAGGGTTGCTTTCAGGGTTCTCTTTCGGACTAGTGTCTTTCATTGGCTGGGGGCTCTATTCAAAACCTGACGTATGGGAGTTTCCGAAAATAGGGGACCCTAGTATAGTACCCAAAACAGCAGGATTGTTTTATAAGGTCAAATAAGGTACCCCCCCAATTTTCGGAAAATCCCATATAGCTCCTGTCCACGGGTGTAGATGTCCATCACCGCGAAACATCTCACATTGGTGCACAGTCATCAAGTGAGCCTTGCGACTGCGTCGTTCATAATGGCAAAAGCAAAGAGCATACACCCAGTCAGTCGGAAAACAGTAAGTCAGCAGGAATTGTCACACCTTTGCACGCAGGCAAGGAATATCGCTACGAACCCGTAGGCAACATCAAGTCTTCGGCGTTTGGGCATCTCAAGAAGCTTCGCCGAGCGCTTCTCCTTCAGTTCCTGCGTGCCCACGATTTTGAGGCAAATCCAGCACGACTGCAAAGCCGGCGACCGTCTTACTACTTGCGACCGGACTACGGTTGATGATAGAAATCCTGCATCACCCATAATAAGGAATACATCCCATAGCTTAGGGCCCTTAAGGTAATGCAGGTTTTATATCATCAACCGTAGTGCAAGGGACAGCAGGGAGGCTCTGAGCACAATGAAGAAATTCTCAGAAGCCCTAGCCCCGACAACCCCAAAGCCCGCCCGTAGCAGATGGGGGTTGATCAAACTTCTGGGCCCTTTTTGGGGTCTGTATTATACCCTGGTACTGAACCCTAAACCCTAAACCCGATACCCTAAACCCTGAAGCCTGGCCTACTAAGCCCCATGACCTTCCAAGGACCTGGCCCCCACCCCAAGGCTCCTAAGAGGGTCTTGCGCCTTCTGGGGGAGGGCTTCGGATTTGGGGGGTAGGGTTTGGGACCTCACTACCAGGGTCCAGGAGCCGTCGGCTTCCTTACAGTCTAGGGGACCAAGAAGGGGCCCATAATTTAGATCAACCACCCCAGATGTTGATGAGTTTCGGGCTGGGTACTGCCACACACCATCGTTGCCCTGACTGGCTTCAGAGGGTCTGCTTCGCTGTTCCTGCTCTGCTTTGGCACTGTTGATGGAAGCAATTTGGGTTATTTAGGGCCCAGCATAGAGTGTGTCACGTTTAGGGTGCTGGGAAACGGGAGTCGCTTGTTTGCAGCGCCCCACATTTTGTGCTTCTGGCGCCTACCTTGCTGGCTCTGCTGCACTCTACTTAAAGCGTCATAGGACTTAGCAGCTGGGGCTGTAAACACGGAAACTATACTTCTACATACGTAGAGCCACACAAGATGTACTTACAACCTTCCTTTCCCTTGACTCTCCAAGTAGAAGGCACTCTACCAAAGTGGCCCCCACGAATAGGCTCTTGCCCGAGTGACAAGCACGAAACACCACATCAACCCTGATCCCAGGCGCGAAATTGCATTGTTCTCCCAGGGCCCCTGTTTAACAGGGGACAGGATTTCGGAGGCTTCAGTTAGACCCGGAGGCTTTAGCTAGATGCCAAACTTTGACCCTACTCCCTGCACCCTTAACCTCACCTGAAACCCTAAACCCTACACCCTAAGTCTCGAGAGCCCAATCCGTTTGGCCTTCCGTGGGTTCGTTGCCCGGCTTCGTGTCTTGGACCGGGCTGGATTCACCGCCTCACTAACATAAGGGCCTTAATACTTCGAATAGGGCTTTGGGGCCCATTATACTATACATATAGGAAGGAACCCCCAAAATAGTATAGGCAATTATTGAAGCCCTTACAATACCAGAAAGCTCCATGTGCCCGTATCGTACTTTGCACTTAGCCCTGAAGATGGTTCCTCGATGTGTGCTTGAAGGAACGTAGACATCCCGGTTTAGGGTTTAGGGTTTAGGGGTTTAGGATTTAGGGGTTTAGGGTTTAGGGTTTAGGGGTTTAGGGTTTAGGGTTTATGGTTTAGGGTTTATGGTTCATGGTTTAGGGGTTTAGGGTTTATGGTCTATGGTTTAGGGTTTAGGCGTTTAGGGGTATAGGGTTTAGGGTGGTTACATTCCCAGCATCCCCCATCCCGAGCAACACTGGCATTTGGGTAGTTTTTCTGGACTAGGCTCCCTTTCTAGGTCCCCAAAATAGTACGGCAGCCTTATTTCCGGACCCTGAAAGGGACCCTAATTTAGAGAACTACCCACTTAGGTTTTAGGCGGTAGGACTTTCACTGGAGATGTAGACACAAACACGGACACAGACCCGAAGCAATAGCACTCATATCATACAGTCATACAGGCGGCTACACCCAAACCCTGAGCCCTAAAGGCGGACCCCAGGTATCAACTACAACCCACAGGTTCCCAAAACCTACCTCCTGGATCCTACTTGGAGGGGCAGGGGACTTAGTAAGTAGATACAAGTAGAGTTTTAAGTACCCTGAATGGAGTTACCCCAATTATAGCCCTACTTATAAACGACTTAATTACTAAGTCCACTGCCCCTCCAAGTAGACGCCTGAACCTCTCAGATTTAGAATCGCATCGTCTCTGTGGCATGCGCCAAGGAGCCGCAATGCGGGCAGTCGATGGCTAAGTGAGGGCCCCCACAGTTGAAGCAATTCGGTTCGCCTCGCAGTGTGGTCGTGGAGCTCTGGTTTTGAAGGTTTAGGGTTTAGAAAAGGGTTTGAGAAGGGTTTTCAAATAGAAGGGCTTCGTTTTCGGTGCTAGGTAGGGTGGGTCGCGTTTAGGGTTAAGGCTGCAAGGGATTCCGTGCTTATGGGTTTTGCGATGTAGGGTCAGGGGATGTCAAGGGCGACAGTTTAATTCATTGGATTTGGGGCTTGGTGTGCTGTGTGGCTTGGCGCGTATCGTTCCGAGCCTGTTTGTTTCGCTGGTGCCGCCCTCATCCAAAGAATACTGGGGCTTATCAAGTATATAGAGTAGATTAGAGTAGGGCCTAGAGTTCAGGGTAGATTAGAGCAGGGCTAAGAGTTCAGAGTCTAGTCTAGGAGTCATAGGGTACAATAGAGTTCTTTGTTAAGGAAGCCTGAGGCACAGTATTGGCAGCTAGCCAGGCCCTCCTCCAGCAAACCCCAGACCCTGCAAGAGACCATACCAAGACAAGGGCAATGCACTTCGGCTTGGTTGCGGTGGGCCCTTAAAAGCCCTAAACCCCAAACCCTAAACCCTTGCTCAGTCGATACCCGGTGCAAGAAACTGCCCACAGCTCCTCAAATAGGAAGACCTCCCCGGCCAAACAGCCGAAAGCCAAAAACCCTATAACCCTAAACGCTAAGCCCTAAACCACAGCATCGTAGCCGTTCAAAACCGCAACGACTCGGAGGCCCATCTTAGCAGCAGGGTTGCATTGCACGTAGTTCTTCGGGTTTAGGGTTTTGGGGCTTCAGGTCACTTCTCAGCATGTTACCAGGTCTTGCCCAGCCCCGTACTTATGAACACCTCTGAAGCCCAAAGTAAATACAGGATATGGGAGAGGTATGGCTGCCGGGTTCGAACTGTGCCCCGAACCTGGACCGGGACCTGAGAGCTATTCGTGCCGGGCGACTGGAGTCGTCTTCGGTCGGATCCGGTAAGGACTCCACTTCATCCGACTCTTCCGCATGGCCCTGGGTGCAGATCTGTGGGGTTCTGATCTGATAGGCTTCGTCAAACATCCCATCGACATGTGACTCAGCAGATGTCGCCTCGAATACGATACACACTATACGCACTGACACAGACAGCCTCGTCCACACACACACACACACACACACAGACACACGATGCAAGCGGAAGGTCCTCCCCCGTCTCTGTCTCTGTCTCTCTGTCTCTCTCTCTCGCTCTCTCTCTCCCTCTCGCACTCTCCCTCTCCCCGTGTCTCTCTGGTACATACCCGTACACTAGTATAGAAAGCCAGGAAAACAAGAGCCACTGCTGCAATTACAGACATGACTAGTTTGTGGATTACTGCCTTCGGAGCTTCCGCTCGAACTGGGACTTCCCCTGCACTCAAGCACATGCCGAAGATCCCGAAAAAAGGTTTTTACATGCTCCTGCTTAAACAGTGAATATATAGTACAATATAGGTCCCTGACAGAAACCCTTATGCCCCTTGTTTTACCCCTGGAGGAAGTTACAGGCCGGAGGGCGTGGCTATGTGCGGGGCCGGCATCACGGGCCTTCTAATCTTTACGACAAGAACTAAGTGATGTCCCCAAGCTATAACTTTGCCTTGACATCAGCAGCCTCTTATACACAACAGCCCACAACCACAAACACAAATCAATAGCGGCTCCAGTTTAGGATCAAAGGGGTTGCGTTGTCTGCGGGCACTGCCAACTGGAACTGAACCAGTGTAATGCAATCGCAGCCGAACACAGCCAATGTAAATACTTGTGATGGAACCAACTGGCTAGGTTCCCTGATGTCTGGTGCAGGGTGAAGGTAGGATACGTCATGAACTACCCAAGCACCTAGACGGCATTCTGCAGTTCCCAAATTGGATTTATGGCTTGGGTTATAAAAATCAGGGACCTGGTGCCAGGGATTTGAACGTAGTTCCACCACCCCAGAACTCAATCCGTCGTCGCAGAAAACACTCTAAACCCTATACACCCTAACCCGAAGAAGCCAAAAAACCCTTAACCTCCCTAAGAACCGTAACTGACCATCCCCCCTATCTTTTGCACCGGCCCAGCCCTCAAATCTGAATTTGGCAAAAAAACAAAGCACTGTCCTCAGGAACAATACCTAGACCCCCAAAAGTAGGTAAAATAATGGCCCAAAACCCATAAAAGGCTATCATTCTACATACTTCTGGGGTCCAGGTACTACTGCAGGGTTCAGGGCTGTGAGAGTATATATATATATATACCAGTCCAACCTACCTGTCCTCAAACAAAAACGACAAAACAAATACACATAACCCTCCGATAAGCCCACAGAGCACACAAACACGACACAACCAAAAACAAAACTAAGCGGCCGGAACCAACTCGGGAAGATCTCCATCCGAAGAGGCCGCATCCTTCCAAACTTCGGGCTTGGCCTTAAGGGTCCTACTGTTAATGATACAAATCCTGCATGACTTTAAGGACTCTAAGCTATGGGAATAATGGTATATTCCTCATTATGGGAGATGCAGGATTTCTATCATCAACCGTAGAACGGTTCTACGACTGCTTGTTGGAGTTTAGGCCTAGTTTAGGGTCTTGGGGTCTTAGCTTTTAGGTCTTTGGTGTTTCCGGGGCTTCTGGGGATTCCAAGCTTGCAGAGGGAGTACATGGCTTTCGGGCTCAGCGTCTTCGAGTTTTGGGGAACTCTGGAAATCCAGTCTTGGTTTGTGGCTGTACTTGAAGGATCATGGGACTTAGTAAATAGGGTTAGAATTAGGGTAACTATACTTATAACTACTTATATAACCCCATTAAGGTACTTATAACCTTAAAGTCCCATCCCTAAATTGAACCCTAAACCCTTGAGAGTTTGGGGACCAAAAAGCGCTTTCTTACCCCAATTAAGCTACCTATAACCTTACCCTAAACCCCAAACCCTAAACCCATAAAACTGGTTAACCAAAAAAAGGAACTACAATGGAGACTCTAGGTAGGTCCTAACGTGCTCGGCCCGGGAGCACCTCACCCCAAACCCCTTAAAAGGGATCTATAAGGGTTCCTTAAAGGGATCTATAGGAGTTCTATAAAGGGTTTAGGGTTTAGAGTTTCCGAAAAATGGGGTACCTTATTTTGGTATTTAGGGTAGCATATTAGGATCCGCTATTTTCGGAAACTCCTATGTCTCTAAACCTCGCGGCTGCGGACAGTTTGGATCTCACTTTTGTAAGGATGGCAGTGTTTAGCATGCGCGACCGTTCTGAAGCAAGCGTAAGATCTATTTTGCTTCTGCTGGGAGTAGTTAGCCTCACAACTGCCCTAAACCCTGAGTCGCCTAATATTGTTCCTCTTCGTGATCTTGTCGGAGGGGCTGCGGCACGAAAAGTTTCGGAACTTCTTTTTTCTCGGAATTTCAGGCTCTAGGATGCAATTAGGGTTTGGGATTCAGGGTCTTATAAGTGATGTCGGTGTTACGACTCAATTGTTCATATGGCTTTGGGAATTACTAGGGCTGCCGCGTTCATGTGCATATATATATATATATACATACATATCTAGCTGCAACGTTCGGTGGACAGCCAGAGCTTGGACAGAATCCTTAGACATCCCCTCCTGGAGCCCTTATAGACCCTTTTATACAACCCGTATTAAACCATGCAACAGCCTTGCAGAACCCTGCACAAATCCGATGGTTTGGCTAGGGGTTGGGGTTAAGTACATAGTCTAGGAGTTGAGAGTTTCACTAAGGATTCTAGAACAAAGCCGCATTGAGGCTTGCAGTCGAGCCGCTGCTGCCACTTCGCCGGAATCTGTGTCTGGCGTCACCCGCTCCTGCTCGTGCACCACACCGCGCCTCAAAAAGCATCTCAGTCCCAGGCACACAATCACTCAGCTTAATTGTCATGACCAACACCGGAAAATCCCTAAAACCTCAAACCCTGAGTGGCGTATTTCATACAGAAAATCTGCATCTGAACAAAAGCGTGTGTCCAGGAGATTCCTGCACGGGCTTTGAAGAACTATCTGTGCCCCTTTGACTCCGGATCCTTGGGATTTCAAGTCTGCCGTATCCCCCAACTGAAACACCCTAAAGTCCAAACCCCCCTAAACCCTAAACCCTAAAACCCTTTTTAAGGGGCCCTATAAACTCCACACCCTAAACCAGTCTAAACCCTGAATCGTGTTTTTTTTTGTGATGGGGGCTTGTAGTTTCCAGCTCGTCGAACTTGCCAAGTCCCCTTAGTCACGGAGCCTCCGGATCCATGAAACGAGTAATATGGGGGCCTGATCGGGTTTTGGGCCCATTGTTCTTTTATCATCATAGTAAGGAACCGCCAAAATAGTATAGGAAAATGTTGAGGTGCCTATATCATAGAGCCCTTATGGTACCTTTATAGTAAGCCTTAAAGGAACCCTGTTATTTCTGGGGGTATAAGTAAGGTAACAAGAGTTGTGACCCATATTAGGGGTCTTAAGACTCCACTTATATCTCCCCACGAACCTCCAAGTACTAAAGGCTCCCTAAGATCCCTAGATGATGCCCAAATCACCTCAAGGTCACCGCAACACCAACTCCGAGAAGAAGCTTCCCCGCAGTATCTGAAACTTAGGGGGCTGAACGCCCTACGGTTGATGTCCTAGGGTTCCCTTGAAGAGTACCTTTAAGGAGATCTATCAGGGTACCTTTGAGGGCCTCCTTTAAGGGATCTATAGGGTTTCTGGGTTTAGAAGATGATATGAATCCTGCATTACCCATATAAGCACCATAATTCCCATAGTTTAGGGACCTTAATGCATGATTTATATCATCAACCGTAGCCCCAAGAAAGGGATCGATAAGGCTTTGGATTTGGGCTTGAGGCGCCTTTAAAGGCATCTACAGGGGTTTAGGTTTTAGGGATCTAGTGGGTGCCCGAACCCAACGAAGGCTAACTTGTGGAATTATGGTAGGGTTATTTACACCCCTACAGGTCAAAGGTTACCTACTCGGCTCCTAAGGAAATACATCGCCGGAAACTGTTCAAAGTTGAAACCCCTAAGGCTCCAGTTACCTAAATAGTTGGGTGCTAAAGGCACTATAAGGGTTCCTATAAGGCATCCAATAAGGGGCCTACAAGGGTATATAGGGCTTAATACCTTAGGGCTCCAGTTACATGAAACGTAGGTTACTAAGGTACATAATATGTGGTTAGTAACTTAGTAAATATTTTGGTAACTGGAGCCCATGGCAACTATGGTTCGAAATGAGGATGAGTTTCGAACAGCCGATGTGCCCCTGATTCGAAACTCCTCTAAAACCCTGACTCTGAAACCTTAGACCCTAAGACGCCCGAAGTCTCCACCCGTATGCATGCATCGACAGATTGCAGTGACACCCTCGGGCGTTGCAACAGCCAATGCAATATTCGGGAAAGCCGAGTGACAAGCAGTAGTATAGATAGAGGCACGATGAAGCGATACCCTTACCACTCATTATTCTGGCCCGAGAGAAACACGCCAGCTCACCCCAAAACCTCAAACAACTTCAACAGCTTCCCCTAGCCCTAAATTGCTTATAAGCAGGCAAACTCCGAACTAGCGAAATATTCTGGACGAAGTCCCTGAACGCCCTACAAAGCAAGAAAAGTTATCACCACCCCTATACAAAAGCCTACAACAACCCTATACAAACGCCTACAATAACCCTATAGAATGTCATTTTCAGGCCAGTCAAGCCCCCACAATTCTAAACACACCCGTGAAAACGTGCAACGCTGTGGATGGAAGCCCGGCCTCACCAGGAGCTCTTTGTTGGCAACCTCAGCTTCCCCCCCAATGGGGAATTCAGTTTGGGGGCAGAGGGTTCCTGAAAAGGGTTCCTTTCAACGGCTCCTATACAGGTGTTTACTATGCGAGTTACTATAAGAGTACTATGATATAGGGGCCTTGAAAATGAGAATAGGGTTTTTGGGCCCATTTTTCTATAATTATATTTCCAAGAATAAGGAAACCCTCAAGTAACTTAGGCTCCTAAATTAGAGGCTTTGAGGCTTAGGGCTTGGGGTCTCGGCATGGGGCTACTAACTGCATAGGCCCATGCCACCCAAACTCACGAATCTCCTGATCCTGCAACACTACACTTTGAAGTAACCAGGGAGAAAAAAGTATTGACCTTTATTTCAGAATGGTTCCTGTAAGGAACAGGCACCAAAGAAAATGCTCAAGTATGGTACTCCAAACCCAGGAACACCTAAACTCAAAATCCCAAACCTCAGGTCATGCGCACACCCTACACTCTAAACCCTAGACCCTGAACACTTAAACCCCCAACACCAACCCCTAAACCCCTAAACCCCTAAACCCCCAAAACCCCTAAACTCCTAAACCCTAAACCCCTAAACACCTAACTCCTGAACCCCTACACTCCGAATTAGTTCTTGCAAAAGGCCTTGGTGCTCACCCAGCCGGTCTTTGGACCACGGCCAGAGACCTCGGTAGAGGAGCCCGGTAAAGCTTCGGAATGCGATACTTAAAGGGGTCCTTAAAAGGATCTATAAACGCTCCAAAATCAGCATGTGGAGTCTGCTAAAGCTTCGAAATGCGATACTTAAAGGGGTCCTGAAAAAAGGATCTATGAAAGTTCCAGAATGTGGAGTCCGTTAAAGCTTCGGAATGCGATACTTAAAGGGGTCCAAAAAAATGGATGTATGAAGGTTCTAGAATGTGGTTGTTGTAGAGAATTTCCGAAAATAGGGTAGAGGAGCCTTAATAATTAGAATAGGTTTCAGGGACCCGAGAAACTGATGAGAGTTCCAGGGTTCAGGGTGTCTGCGGTGTCTAGGTATATCGAACATATGGGAGTTTCCGAAAATAGGGGACCCTACGTAATATAGTAGCTAAATAGTAGGATCGTTATGATAAGGACCCCCAAATAAGGTACCCCTAATTTTCGGAATCTCCCATATCGCTGCTTCAGCAACTCGGAATGGGTTTTGGTTGGGGTCTTTAGTATTTGTAACAAGCAACCACAAGGACTTGCGGTATAGCGTCACCATTTCTGCAGGACGCTATATTAAGTGGTCGGGAGCGAGGCCGGAGGGTGAGGCTTTGAGGTAAAGTGGAGACCATCATGGCGTTCAGGCCCACCTGAACGACTACGAGCTAGAAATGATGCGACTACCTCACGGGGGTTGCTGCTAAACTCCCACTGCTACTGCGGCTACTCCTGCCAGACATTCTCTTGCGGGATAGCTGTCCGCCACAAATCCGATTGTTTAAACCTGGAGTCCTACATGCTTGCTGGATGGAAAGCTCCTGGGCTAAGAGGTAGGGCCTGGTCACTTGGTATGACACACGTCCAGCTACTTCGCGATTGAACGCTTGGAAGCACTGCAGCAAAATCTTAGGTTCTGGAGGTCGCTTTACAGTCACTATTATTCTAACTGTAATTAAATGAAATAGTCTTAGGTTCAGGCCCCTCGTTGTAGTAGGAATGCACTGGTTAGTATGCATAATTGGCTTTTGTTTGTGTCTCGTGTCGTATCACACCAACATGAAGCAAGCGCTTATGCAGGTTGTGAAACTTCGAGGCAAACTTTAGAGTTCATGGATTGAGGCGTCCACTGCAAAAAAATGTTCAAAGGTTTGGGAGTTTGGTGCCCGCACACATAGGGAAGGCATCGAATCGTAACACTCTGGCCGAGCCTTCGTGTGTTGAAGACCTAGGTCCCTGACCCCTTCTTACTATTATTCGGTTTGAATAAGGGGACCCTAAAACAAAAAGGGCAATTGGGAGCTACCCAGGAACATGGAGACCGTGAAGACCAAGAGCCATAAAGCCTAAACCCAAGCCAAGGGGCCAATTCAAATTGCAGGCGGGTGCCCTGCAGATCTAACTCGCGGACCTCTCAGGGAAGAGTCGGATCAGGTGGTGCCTGCACTTAGACCGCCCATCTACCCTCCTTAAAGGGCTCTATATGGGATCTACAGGGGTTTAGGGTTTAGGGTCTACTTAAAGGTTCGTGGTGGGCCCCCAAACTGCCCTCTAATATACCCACCATGAAGGACCATAAGCGCTCCATTAAAGGGCCATTTGGGGGGTCCCACAGAGCCCAGCACCCATGAATTAAAGAAAACTCTTCGTGCAGAGACCGCCTAAACTTTCGACATCTTTCGACTCATCGTAACAAACAAACAGGTAAATATTGACCTTGTAAGGTTCAAAGAACGAAACCGGCACGGTGGGAGTTGCAAATGATGTCCCCCCGCGTTAACATGGCCGTTTCAACAATACTTTCACCGAGTATCGTATCGAACCGCCCGCTCCTGTATCGAACCGAACCGAAGCATTTGGGACCGCACCACCTCCCACCTCCCACCTCCTCCAACCTCCCACCTCCCACCACCTCAACTCCCACCTCCCTAGGAAAGCGGAGGTGGGTGGCATCGAACCGGACCGGACCAACAGGCACATCACATCCCCAAAGGAAACCGACGACAGAACCGAACCGTGACACCCATGGTCAACAGGCCACCACTCCTTCAAACAAAAAAGTCGTCCAACGCAGTAATCACGGCAAGTCGAGGCTCCAGCGTCTTCGTCGTCCGCATTTTTAGTGCGGATCGAATGACACTTCTTTTTGCGATGCCGTGGGTCAGAGAATCCATCTGAGCACAGAACAAACCGATTTCTCGATGAAGCGGCCTTCCCGCAAAGGCGACACTTTTTCTTGGGAAGAGCGTTGCGAAAGACGGGACCTGATAATTACTTTGGAGCAAGAATCAAGGCATAGGAAATCCAAGCGCAAGCGAAGCTCGGTGTCCAGGGATGCCGGTGGAAGACCCTGCAGTGGTAGCAATGCGAAGAAGAAGGCACAAATCCAGTTTAGTTGGTATTGTTCGCTGTAGGTTCTTATGCTATAGTCTTTAACTTTGTCTTGCGCACAATCACATAGTCTGTGTGTTGTTGTTAACAGAAAAATTAAACCAACTGTTGCGACCATCGCTTAAATTTTGGGGGGCACCAGACCAAACAGCGGATTTGTAGGGTGCGTGCCGCGGATCTCCGCCATGCTCTCGATGGCGGAGACGATGCTAAGGGCATGTGTGCAGTATGTCTGTGGCAGCCACTCGTCGCCGAGCAGTTGCCACAAGATGATGCCCACGCCCCAGCTGTCATGCCCAGCCTTGCCGCGATGTCTCACACGCAACTGCGGAGCTCACCGAACAGTTGAGAAATCTGCCGTTGACCGTTGCGCCCTCAATCCAATTGACGAGCGTGTCCAGATGGTCTGCCCGCGAGAAGCGGGTGACAGACATGGTCTTCTGCTCCTCTCCTGACACCCTAAGCAAGAAGAATGGTTCCTGCAGAAAGAATTTTGCTGGAACGAGCCTGGCCATTGTGCGTGATCAAGTTGGAGTACAACTGCAGACAGACGCTAAAGAGCTGCAGGACCGATTCAAACTTAGAAAAACACTCTTCTGTTCCAGTAGCGAAGCAGCGCCAAACTTTCAAAAGCTCCAGTGACGGTCCGGATAAGGCAAACTTTGCAAAACGCAAACTTTGATACGGAAAATCAAACCCCGGGCATCCGAGTCTGCTTGTGAAGACTACTTGGCAATGTTGTGCGAACGCCCCGACATTTCAAGGTATGTGATTTGCGCATACTTATTATGTTGAAGTGGTTGGTGATGTATATGTTAGTATATAGTATATAGTCGTAGTCGTATAATCGTAGTATAGTAGTAGTAGTAGTAGTAGTAGTAGTAGTAGTAGTAGTAGTAGTAGTAGTAGCAGTAGTAGTGGTAGTAGTAATAGTGGTAGTAGTAGTAGTAGTAGTAGTAGTAGTAGTAGTAGTAGTAGTAGTAGTAGTAGTAGTAGTAGTATTAGTAGTAGTAGTAGTAGTAGTAGTAGTAGTAGTAGTAGTAGTAGTACTAGTCGTAGTATATAGTAGTAGTAGTCGTATATATATATATATATATATATATAGAGTAGTATACCTGAGTATATTCATATCTATAATATTGGCTTCTAGATCTCTATATATAGAATTCTGATATCTACTTCAGAAGCAGGAAGCCCGAAACTGATCATTCTTGTATAAGATTGGGATGAAAACTTCAGACTAAGCTTAATCGCTGCATCGAATATGTATTTGCTTGCCGGGTTAAGCCATGGCTCTGAAGCGAGTTCGCTTCAACAGCCGGAAACTTAGTCGTATTGATGATGCCTTGAGTCGAGTCTACTTAAATTAGAATATAGCAGTATTCTAGAATCCTCATCCAGGTTGGGTGGCTTCAAACAGTTTGTACGAGAGGGGCGAGATCCCGGACGAGAGCTCTGTGCACATTCCAAGTGGTGACAGATGTGAAGCAGACGATCCCAATCCAAATGATAGTTGGATGGAAAGTGCAGCTGTCCTGTTTGATTACTGCATGTCTCGTTGCAAGCAGTGAAGCGCTGAAGCATTGATAAACTCCGCAAGCCGTTTTGCTGTTCTATTGGGCCTCCCAGCAGGATTCAAGGCCGGGGCCGAACCTTAATAAAACAGCCAATGAACAATCCATGATTTCAGGCCCGATGGCTGTGGTCACGATCGACATGTCGATGTCGAAGGTCCTTCTCGAGGCTTGAATACGAAATACTTGAATTTGTTCGATAATATTGAACTCGACAGGACTTCTTGAATACCTACCTCACGGAGGAGGAGAATCGGCTGCCTTCCATCAGGAAAGCGAAGGCAAGGCTCGGAATTTGCTGCAATTTATTAAGGCTTGCAAAACACGGTGTGCAAATAAGGACAGGGCAATCCTGACAGTGCCCAACGACGGCCCATGCTCCACGAGCATGCTTCAGCGACATTATTCGTTTTATGCGCATTATGTCGCAACGTTTGCAGCGCAGCCACCCTTGCTGTCCGAGCATCAGGCGATATGTCTGCTTGTGTGAATTATAACATATAGGTATCTCCAATTTCTGTCTCGTCATCAGGCTGTCCTCGTGTGCCTCGGGAAGAGATACTCGATTTTTCCGGCACAGACCCGGGCCAGGATCATCAAGGTGCGAGCATCTGCATGCTAGAATTATAAATATATTCGGAGTGGTAGTGTACTCTGTGTGAGGACTGGGCGGGCCAGCAAGCAGCAATCATGAGAGCTTCTGTGATGCACTTGCTCTTCCTCGCCAAACGCACGGAGAATGCGAAGCTCCTTATTTTAATCAATTTGCAATATGCACATGCAGCACCTCATTCATATAGTAATACAACTTAGGTGTCCGAGGATTTATTCTCTTAAGAAAATCATTCGGGCCACCATCTCTGCAGCAGGCAGGATTCTGCAGTCGAAACTATCTTGAAATCTATCCTCTGCCAGACTATCATCGATCAAGGTGGTTTTGTGCAGTGGTGCTGTCGATTTTGCATTGGAGTCCTGGAAGTTTAAATTTGTAATTATGATATAATAAGATCTGGAGGTGGCGATCCCAATCACGAGATTGCTGCCGGACTCCAGGCAGCTGAGGATGCCCCAGATGGGGAGATGCCAGAGGATGAGGTGCAGGTTCTCCACCAAATCTCCCTGCCCCCTAAATATATGCTGGTTAAGCAGGACGACAGCTTGTCCTGCTTCTCCACCCCGGTTCCTGCAAAGAAGATGCAGACTGAGTTGCTGAGCCCAGAAGCTTGTTAGCAAACCATTGTGTCGAAATTCTAGCTAGACCTCTGAGTAATATAGCTAGATGGAATACTCAGGACAACCTCGAGACCCAGCTTATCCTCCCACCCGACTTCGAGGATGCGGTGATGCCGAGCCCGAGCCCGTTGCCCGAACCCACAGATCCGGCAAATCGACGGCAGGCTGCCAAGGTTGGCCCATGATTTAAGCGTCACCAGAACTAGCGCTAGTATAATTCTATTTCTGCAATGCTTTTGCAGGAGCGCCGCCCGCTCGAACGTGCTGTGCACATCGACGTGAAGTCTTTGGAGGAGCAGGTCCAGAAGATGCAGGATGATATGCCGGCTGAAGGCCAGGAGAAGAACGAGGACATCCGGGCGATGCAGCGAAAGGTGCTATGCCTATATATCCCCAAACCCAAAACCCTAAAGCTATATAATACCCTGATGCGAACCCAGACTCACCCATCCCGAACTATTATAAATTTCATTATAGCTACAAATTAAATAGTCTTAAACCTTAAAGCCTTAAGCCCTGATGTGTGCATGATCGTGCACTGTAGTACCGATTGCATGTTTTCGGCAGCAGGATACCTATATATACAATCTGTTCCAGGATTCGGCTTGGGTTTGTGTAATGGACTTGGCCTTGGGTCTCATGGGTTTACTAATTATCAGGGGTTTGAGTATGTATGCTGGCTAGGCTGGGATTGACAAAATCAGGCTAGTGAGTGAAGCCTGCCCACGTGGCCCATTTTCCCTCAGGTGGCTGAGGCAGCTCGGGTAAAGATCGCTGAGCAGAAGCTGGCGGCAGCTGCCAAGGCATCCGGAAAAGGATCGAAGCCTGGGGCAGGGAATGTTCGAAAGACCGGCAAGCAGCCGGCAGCTGGTCGTGGCAGGGGTGGCAAAGGAAGGGGCAAGAATGCTCCTAAGGTTTCGCTTCCGGAGGATGCTGATGATGCAGAGGCCCCCCAGGGTACTGAAGAACCGGCCCAAGCCAGTGCAAATGCAAACCCAGAGCAGCCCAAGCCAAAGCCCGCTCACACTGGTGAGCACTCCTCAGCCGAAGCTGCTACCCACAAGGCTTGGCTTGAGAAGGCCGGTGCATCGTGTTGTCCTAGGGCTTAGACTGCCTATGTCTGCTATATAAACAATCAGACAGATCCTAGATGTAGCAGGCGATGCAGAACGAGCTGATGAAGGCGAATATCCCACTTGCCCCTGGCTTCACC